GCGCGCACTTAACCGCTAAGCCACAGGGCCGGCCCTTTTTTTTTTTTTTTTTTAAATATTTTTTTTTTTTTTTTGTTTTTGTGAGGAAGATCAGCCCTGAGCTAACATCCGTTAATCCTCCTCTTTTTGCTGAGGAAGACCAGCCCTGAGCTATCATCTATTGCCAATCCTCCTCCTTTTTTTTGCCCCCAAAGCCCCAGTAGATAGTTGTTTGTCATAGTTGCACATCTTTCTAGTTGCTGTATGTGGGACACGGCCTCAGCATGGCAGGAGAAGCAGTGCGTCGGTGTGCTCCCGGGATCCGAACCCGGGCCGCCAGTAGCGGAGCGCGCGCACTCAACCGCTAAGCCACGGGGCCGGCCCTCTTAGTGTAGTTTTGATTTGCATTTCCCTGATGATTAGTGATGTTGACTTTATGGGACTGCTTTTCTAAAGAGATCTAAAGGCTAACTTGAACGGAAAGACAGTAGAGCTAGAGGTCTCCTAAAACAATTACTTTGTCCCTGGTGAGAGTCCTGGTCAAATCCATTCCATCCTGTGTGGACCAGTGAGTTGCTTTGGTAACTCTGGGGGAACAGAAGAGAATTGAGTTCTGTTGTAAACCTGGTTTGGTATAAACTTGGTCTCAAATTTTTGCCAGAATCAAATCACAAGATGTAAAGTTCTTTAATTCTCATGGTTTTTCTTCCCCACACCTCTGCAGGCATTGTGTCGGGCGGAGGATGAAGAGGATATCCGTGCAGCCACCCAGGCCAAGGCTGAACAGGTGGCTGAGCTTGCAGAATTCAATGAGAATGATGGGTTTCCTGCTGTTGAGGGAGAAGAGGCTGGTCGGCCTGGGCCTGAGGATGAGGAGATGTCTCGGGCTGAGCAGGAAATTGCTGCCCTTGTAGAACAGGTCAGTGTTGGATCCCCTAGTTCTCAACCTCACCCTCCACAACTTCTTCCTGTAGACTCTGTGACCCTTCTTTTATTTTCCCTGGTGAAAATAATCAAGGATGTTGGGACTTGGGCACCAGGTCCCTATGTTCATCACCACTGCTCCTCCCCACAGCTGACCCCCATTGAGCGCTATGCCATGAAATTCCTGGAAGCCTCGCTGGAGGAGGTGAGCCGAGAGGAACTCAAGCAGGCAGAAGTGAGTATTTCTAGGGTGAGGTTGGAAGTGGGAAGCTGCTGCTTTCTGCCTGCTCCCCACCCTGCTTGTCTCCCTCTGACCACTCTCTGGGCTCTGTTGTTGGTAGGAGCAAGTGGAAGCTGCTCGGAAGGACCTGGACCAAGCCAAGGAGGAGGTGTTCCGCCTACCCCAAGAGGAGGAGGAGGGGCCAGGGGCTGGGGATGAGGTTTCCTGTGGGACTAGTGGAGGCAGCCACCGGCGCAGTAAGAAGGCCAAGGCCCCTGAAAGGCCAGGGACTCGCGTCAGTGAGCGTCTACGTGGAGCCCGGGCTGAGACTCAAGGGGCAAATCACACTCCTGTCACGTCCACCCATCATACCCGCAGTACCTCCACACCCCCCCGCTGCAGCCCTGCCAGGGAGCGAGTTCCCCGACCAGCACCTAGGCCTCGACCCACTCCAGGCTCAGCTCCTGCTGCAATTCCTGCCCCAATCCCTGTTCCGATCCCTGCCCCAATCCCCATTTCAGCCCCAAATCCAGTAACCATGCTTCCTGTGCATATCTTGCCTTCTCCCCCACTTCCTCCTTCACAGATTCCTCCCTCTTGTTCTTCTGCCTGTACTCCTCCTGCTGCCTGTACCCCTCCACCAGCTCATACCCCACCTCCAGCCCAAACGTCTCTCTTAACTCCTTCCTCCCCTCTCCTGCTTGGTCTACCTTCTGTGCCCGTCTCCCCACCAGTCACCAACCTCCCCTTAGGCTTGGGGCCTGAGGCAGAGCTTTGTGCACAAGCATTGGCATCTACCGAGTCCCTGGAGCTGGCCGATATGGCCAGTTCTGAGACTTCCCCACTTACTCTTGTGCCCTCTAAGGATCTGTTACCAGTTGCTGTTGAGATCCTGCCTATGTCAGAGAAGAACCTTTCTCTCACCTCTTCTGCACCTAGCCCAACCCTGGAGGCTGGCAGCGTCCCCAACGGTCAAGAGCAGGAGGTGCCAGAGCCTGCCGAGGGGACCATCCTCACAGTGCTGCCTGATGGTGAGGAGGTGCCCACGTGTCTGAGTGAGAGCAATGGACTGGAGCTCCCACCCTCAGCCACATCTGATGAGCTACTTCAGGAGCCATTGGAGGCTGACAAGAACTCAGAAGAACTGGTGGAGGCCCCGACCCCAACCTCTAGCCCTGAGAAGCCGCAAGAACTTGTTTCAGCTGAGGTCGCAGCCCCATCAACGTCATCCTCGGCCACCTCCTCACCTGAGGGTCCTTCGCCTGCCCGGCCCCCTCGGCGTCGCACCAGTGCAGATGTAGAAATTAGGGGTCAGGGGGCTGGTCGGCCAGGGCAATCTCCAGGCCCCAAAGTGCTTCGCAAGCTGCCAGGACGGCTAGTGACTGTGGTAGAGGAAAAGGAACTAGTGAGGCGACGGCGACAGCAACGGGGAACTGCCAGCACCCTAGTGCCTGGGGTCTCTGAGACTGGTGCCAGCCCGGGAAGCCCATCTACCCGCAGCATGTCGGGGCCAGAATCCTCACCTCCCACCAGTGGGCCCTGTGAAGCTGCTCCCCCATCTACACTGTCCACCCCAACCCAGCAGCCCTTCATAGCTCGCCGTCACGTTGAGCTGGGGGTGACTGGTGAGGGTAGCCCAGAGAATGGAGAAGGGGCACTGCTTGCCATCACCCCTCCTGCTGTGAAACGTCGGAGGGGAAGGCCCCCCAAGAAGAACAGGTCTCCAGCAGATGCTGGGCGAGGGGTGGATGAGGCACCTTCATCCATCTCTAAGGGAAAAACCAATGGGGCTGACCCAGGCCCTGGGGCTGAGACCCTTATTGTTGCAGAGCCTGTTCTGGGACCCCAGCTTATTCCTGGGCCCCAGCCTGTTGGACCCCAGCCAATTCATAGACCCGAACCCATCGTCCTATCACCTGTGGAGAAAAGAAGGCGTGGGCGGCCCCCTAAGGCACGAGATTTGCCTATTCCTGGGACCATTTCCTCTCCAGGGGATGGCAACTTAGAGAGCCGGACACAGCCACTCCCGCTACCACCACCCCTGCCACCACTCCCACCGCTCCTAGCCTGTCCCACAGCTACTGTCGCCAACACTGTCTCCACTCTCACCATTTCAACATCCCCACCCAAGCGGAAGCGGGGCCGACCTCCCAAGAATCCACCATCACCTCGGCCCAGCCAACTCCCTGTCTTGGACCGTGATAGCTCTTCTGTCCTCGAGAGCTGTGGATTGGGGAGGCGGCGGCAACCCCAGGGCCAGGGGGAGAGTGAGGGTAGTTCCTCTGATGAGGATGGAAGCCGCCCCCTCACCCGCCTGGCCCGCTTACGGCTTGAAGCAGAGGGAATGCGGGGACGAAAGAGTGAAGGGTCTATGGTGGTGGCTGTAATTCAGGATGACCTGGATTTAGCAGATAGTGGGCCTGGTGGGTTAGAATTGACATCTCCTGTTGTCTCATTGGCTCCAAAACTGCGCTCGACCCGGCTGCGTCCAGGGTCTCTAGTCCCCCCACTAGAGACTGAGAAGGTGCCTCGCAAACGGGCAGGGGCCCCAGTTGGTGGGGGTCCTGTGTTGGCAAAGCGTGGCCGTCTACAGCCTCCAAGTCCCTTGGGGCCTGAGGGTTCAATAGAGGAGTCTGAGGCTTCAGCCTCAGGTGAGGAGGAGGAAGGGGATGGGACACCACGTCGCCGATCTGGCCCCCGCCGGCTTGGTGGGGCTACCAACCAAGGGGACCAGCGCATCCTGCGTAGCAGTGCCCCTCCCCACCTGGCTGGCCCTACCATTAGTCACAGAGGCCGCAAGGCCAAGACGTGAGTGGGAAGCCCCTGCACCTAGGCTTTCCGCCATGGCCCCTCTCCCTCCATGACCAGGCCTGACTCTGTTAACCACTACTTGAAGTCTTTTGAGGGGGAAAGCCTCCAGGGAGACAGAGGGGCCTTCTCCCTTCTTTCCACCAAAGTAGGGGGTAGGCAACTGGTTGTCATGAAAATGGGGCTCTTCACATATCCCCTTCCCTTCCACCCTACATGGCTGGGCAGTGTTAAGGGTGGCAAGATAGTCTCTGTCCCCACCCCCTTGTACTTGATTCCCCAGCTATCTTTCACAGCCCCCCACCCTTATGGGAAGGGAGAGGGGCTTCTCTAAATGAGTTTTTTTTTTTCTTTTTTTTTTTAAGAAGAAAAAATAATAAACTTAGTTTCTGTATGAGCATCCGCGTAAGGAGGCTTCTGATTTTCTGGTCTGGTGGAGGGTTGGGTGGGAAGTTGGGCATCATTTTTCTCTTCTCTTTTGCTCTTGCCAAGACTCTAGTACCTGATCTCTAACCCAGAATTATGTATCTTTGAGGCAGAAATCTCCACCCAAGAAGAGGAAAGATTGTTAAATCCTCGTAGGGTGCCTTTCCCTGAAGTTTCAGTTTCAAGTCACTCAGACTCATACTTTTTCTCTTCTCCATTCTTTTCCGCTAGTTCCCTGACTTGGTCTCAGAGTGCTCTGATGCTTCAGACTTATCCCCGCTTTTAGCCCACTTGCTCAGGTGCTTTCATTCCTTTTCCAGAAGGCAGACATCCTACCTCCAGTTGCTCCATGCTTTGCCCTTCCTTGCTTTCCTCCATCTAGCCAAACTGGTTTGAGTCAGCCACACCCCCTTCTGAGGTCCTGGGGCTCTTCAGGTAGTGGCTGGCCACCCAACCCCACCTCTGGGCTTGGCTTGGAGCCCTGACTCAGCTCCATCTCCACCCAAGCCAAATCAAACCTGAGGCAGGAGCCGAAACTCAGTCCCTCAAAGCCTATAGCCAGGTAAGAGCCCCTGTTCATTTTTACATTTTCTCTGGTCTCAACTCCCTAGACCCTCTCGTGTTCCCCTGATAACTGTATTTGTGTTCACCTAGTATCTGAGTTCTTTCCTTATACCCACTCTCCTGCAGCTTTGTGGCACATATCCTTTGCTCTTTGCTTATCTTGCCTCGCCTCTTTCACCGTTTCTATCCTTTGTTACTTGTGTTCAGAGAACTGCAAATGGTTCCATTTTGTCTAGGATGTAGGGAAATGGTTGGAGATGAGGGTGGAAAGGTGGTTTGATGCCCGAGCTCAGAGGACTTGAGAAATAGATGAGAAATGATTAAGTAGGACATCATTATGCAGGTTTCTGTGTGGATTATGAGGTCATTTGAACTCGGGGTGTTAATCTGATTTCGTTGTGTGGCCTGGGTTAAAATGAAGAAAGGAGGTGGCAGGGAGTCAGCATAACAAAGGAGGCCCCTATTTGGGGAGGTAAACCTGGTTTTTCTGATGTTCAGTTTTCCTCAACTATAAAGAGAGCTTGGACGGGTAATTTTTCTCTCCTTTCCCCCATATCCAGAACCATGTTTTCACATGAAATGGCTGCTTTGCTTGAAGTGGGGTACAGGGCCATTCTCTGACCCCTCCTTAATATTCAGGGGCAGCCTCTGAGGAACTCCAGAGAATTTTAGAGCCGTTTGAAATACAGTTTAAAATCACTGACTTGGATAATCTCAGATTTCTAGCAGCTTTTGAGATTCTGTGTTTCTCTCCTGCTCAGCGTGCATCTGTCAATTTTATTTTCCCCACTTGTCAAAACAGTAAGTAATACAGATAATGCTGTGTTCACACCAGCTTGTTTTTAAAGACTCAGAATCTTAGGCTGAGGAAAAAGGATTCCAGCCACACATTTCCTCTCTTGGTCTATGAGTCACTAGAGGAATTCCCCAGTAAGGTAGCGTTCATGAGAGTTGGGCTAGGCCACAGAGGACATGATCAAGGAGAGGGGTAGAGTCTGAGCAAGCCGGGCCAAGGGCTCAGTTGTTGGGCTTACAAGTACCTTGACTGTATCGCCCACAGGTGATGGAGGACGAGGAGAAGGCAGTGGAGATCTTGGTGAGCAACACGGAAGCTGCTCATTCTCCATCCCCCATCCGCTGCTGCTGGCTCCGCCTCCGCTACTTGGCAGCTACTAGCATTATCTGTGGCTGCTCTTGCCTGGGAGTCGTGGCCCTTGTGTTTGCCATCAAGGTGAGGAATGCAATTCCTATGGGAACCGGGGGTGGGTGGGTGTAGTAAGGCAATGGTTTCATATATTTGAGCTATCTACGTTGATGAAACAGTTACTAAGCACCTGTCATAGCTTGGCTATGGGCCTGGTGCCAGAAATAAGAATAAGACATGGTACCTGCCCATCTAAGGGCCCACAATCTAATGAAAGAGATGGCTGTGAAAATGGATAATTATTAATGGAATGTAGCTCATCAATACTATGATAGAGGAAGCACAGGGTATTCTGGGAGCTGGGAAGAACATATGTGTGTAATTACATATGTGTGTATAGTAAAGAAGGTGACAGGAAGGGCATCCTAGGGGAGGTGATAAGAAAGTAACCTTAAAGGATGATTGAATAAGGGTGAAAGGGCATTCCAGGTAAAGGGAGCAGTGTGTACAAAGGCCTGGACTGCTAGTTCAGCATGACTGGACCAGTGAGGAATAGTGAGAGATGACGCCAGAGGGCCTAGATTCCCAAGGGCCTCCAGTACTGTGCTTAGGAGTTTCAACTTGATCTTGAAAGTACTGGGGAGCCATTCAAGGGTTTTTGCAGAGGAGAGTGACATGGTCAGATTTGTGTTTCAGTAAGATTTGCTCTCAAGGCCTATGTGGAGGATGAATTGCGAGGGGCATGACTCGAGGCAGCTGAGCAGTGATTAGAGCAATCTGTAGGAGTCTGGAAGAAGCTATAAGGTTTTTGAGAGGGCTTCACCATTTCAAAACAGCTAACAGAAACTCACATGTACCTTTTGAAACGCCACACAGGCTAACTTAAACCTCATGCTGGAATTTTCTCAACCCTAGTTTTATTTTAACAATCAGAAACTGTATTCGTATCATCATAAGAATTTCTGAGTTTCATTAGGGCAAAATCATAAAAATCCTTAATAATGAAAAAGATGAGGCCCATTGGGCTAAGTGAGAATGGGGTGGTGTTTGATGGGGCACGAGTGAAATACTCCACGATAGCTCACTGTTTCTTGCCAAGAATTCCAAATTCTGAATGAATCTGGGATGAGTAGAAGAGGATGGGGAATAAGAAGATTGAAAAGTACTTTCCCGTATGTGATCTTGTGAGCTAACAATGGCCACCCTGAAAAGTAGGCAGAGCCAAGTGGGTACCTCACTGTGCAGATGAGGCATGAGAGATAGAAACTGGAAGGGGAGGTATAGGGTTTGGGTGTGAGGTTTTAAGCCATGACAAGCGTGGAGGATTGGAGTTGGGCAGTGGGCACTTTGGGCCAGAAGCAGGGGGAGAACCTAACCAAAAACCTGCCCCCACAGGCGGAAGAGCGGCATAAGGCAGGCCGGTCCGAGGAGGCAGTGTACTGGGGGGCCCGGGCCCGGAGGTTCATCCTGGTCAGCTTTGCGGTCTGGCTTGCTGTCCTCGTTCTGGGCCCCCTCCTTCTGTGGCTGGTGTCCTATGCCATCGCCCAGGCTGAGTGACCCTGGGTGGCCTCTGCTGAGAGTCAGCCAAGACCTCCTGGATCCTGCAATGCGGCATTGCTAGGGTCCGGTGCCAGCAATGGTCCTTCCTGGCTGGAAGGATGGTGCCTCTCTCAAAGGGCTTTGGAAGAGCTCTTCTAGCCCTTTATATAAAAGGAGGCAGCAGCTGAAACTGATGAGGGGACATCAGCCTGCTCTGTTCTTTCAGTGCCCACCATTCTCTATTCCCCTCAACCCACCCTATCCAAGGGGCCTCTACGCAGAGGTAGGGTTGAAAACCAGGCCTGGTTTTATGAGAATTTGTTTTGTAATAAAAAGCTTTTTTAGTGGTGAAATTCTCCTGTCTAATTGTTCTTCCCCTGCTATTCCCTGGGCCCTTGATGAGAGCCAGACTGGACATCTGATGATGGCAGAAGTCTGTATCTCCCCTTACCTAGGAGCTCCAAGAGAAGGAAAGGACTTTTTTTTTTTCTTTTTTCCTTCTTCTGAAAGTTTTCCTTCTTGGAAAGATCCCAGCTTCTCCCTTACACATCAACAGAGACCCTTGAGGCCAGGGAGGAAGAGTGGTCCAGCAGCTACTATTCATTGAGTGCTTGCTATATTCCAGGCTCTGTTCTAACCACTTTATATTTATTAACTCCTCAGTCCTCACAATCAATCAATAGTAGATACTGTTGTTCTCATGTTATAGTTGAGGAAACAGGCACAGATTACCCAAGGTTACACAGTTAGTAAGTGGCAGAGCTGGGATTGAACCCAGACAGTTTGGTTCCAGAGATGAGAGAAGAGTGAAAGGTTTGGATAACAGCAACCACCACCCTATATATGAAGATTATAATGAATTTTCATGTCCTTTATCTTGGGCCTCATGATACTATTTTAAACATTTTTTAAATTGTGAGGTATTTCACATAGAGGAAAATATCTAAAACAAGTACACAGTTTAATAAGTTAACACAAAATAAACATCTGAAAAACCATCATTCAGTCAAGAAATTGAACATTGCCAGCACCCCAAAGCCTCCTTTATACTCCTCCCAATCACTGTTCCTTCCTTTCTTCCCACAGGTAACTACCATTCTGACTCCTAACAATGTAGTTTAGTTTTACCTGCATTTGAACATTATATAAATGGAATCATATGTATTCTTTTTATGTCTGGTTTCTTTTGCTTAACATTGTGAGAGTCACTGATATTTGGTGTAGCTGTAGTTTTCGTTACTGTATAGTATTCCATTATATGAAAACATTACAATTTATTCATTTTCTGTTGGTGAACTTTTGGAATGTTTCCAGTTTTGGGATATTATGAATCATGCTGCTGTGGACATTATTGTACATGTCTCTTGGAGTACATGTGCCCTGGGAATGGAATTTTTGGGTTATTTCACCATAATTCAGAGCCCAGCAGAATACCTAAAGGAATTAGAGTTGTTGCACACTGAAGAGAAAAGATTAAAGGGGAAGGAGAGGCACATGATGGTTTTCTTCAGTATTCCAAAGTGCTCCAGGAAGAAAAAGTGAAGAGAATCCATTCTTGGTCCCAGAGGTTAGAATTACAACAATGGGTAGAAGCCATACATAGAAGCCATACTGGTTCTCAACCTTGGCTTCACAATGGAACCACCTGGGGAGCCTTAAAAAGTACTTATGCCTGGATGTTACCCCTAGAGATTTTGATTTAATTGGTGTGAGGTGCTGCCTGAGCATCAGGATAACTCATTTTAGAGATAGTTTTACAGAAACTTTTTAAAAGCTGATATTTGATTAATCAGCTTCAGTTTACTAGAAGAGAATATCCCATTCCCCCAAACTGATTAAATGAGGTCTTGCTATTTTTTAACTATTTTGAAAAAATTTCAAACCTACAGAACAATGAAAGAATAGTACAATGAACTCATGTGTACTCTTCACCTAGATTTATAATTTTTAACATTTCACCACATTTGCTTTATATCTTTCTAAATATACATATTATTATTGCTGAACTAGTTGAGGGTAAGTTGAAGGCCCTTTATCCCTAAATACTTCATGATCTATCTCCTAAGAACAAGGATATTCTCTCATATAACCACACTACAATTATATGATTTAGAGAAGTTAACATCAATACAATATGATCCTCTAATATATAGGCCATATTCAAATTTGCCAGTTGTCCTAATAACGTGCTTTATAACAATTTCTTTTCCACTTTAGGGTCCACTGTGAGAACACTCATTGCATTTAGTTGTTATTTATTTATTTTTTTTTGTGAGGAAGATCAGCCCTGAGCTAACATCCATGCCAATCCTCCTCTTTTTGCTGAGGAAGACCTGCCGCATTTAGTTGTTTTATGTTTAGTCTCCTTAAATTTTTAGTTTGTTCTCCTCCTTTCTTTTTTGTCTTTCATGACTTTTTGAGGCGAGGCCAGTTTGTAGAATGTCCCTCAATTTGGGTTCTTTTTTTTTTTTTTTGTGAGGAAGATCAGCCCTGAGCTAACATCTATTGCCAATCCTCCTCTTCCCCCCACCCCCAAAGCCCCAGTAGATAGTTGTATGTCGTAGTTGCACATCCTTCTAGTTGCTGTATGTGGGACACGGCCTCAGCATGGCCAGAGAAGTGGTGCGTCGGTGCGCGCCCGGGATCCGAACCCAGGCCGCCAGTAGCGGAGCGTGCACACTTAACCGCTAAGCCACGGGGCCGGCCCATCAATTTGAGTTCTTATGATTGGATTCAGGTTATGCATTTTTGGCAGAAATACTACATAAGTTGTGTGTCCTCAGTGTGTCACATCAAGAAGCATGTGATGTCGATCTGCCGTCTTATTGGTGGTGGTAACATTGACAACTTGGTTAAGGTAGTGTCTGTCAGATTTCTGCAAAGTAAAGATACCTTTTTCCTTTGTAATTAAAAAATAATCTGTATAAATACCCTGTTCCCCAGCAGATTTTCCACCAATAATTTTAAACCTGTTTTGCTCAAGTCAGTGTTGAGTTGAGTCAAAGTTGATGTTTTAACTTTATCGTTCTTTCTATGTTTGTTAGCTGGCATTCTACTCTGAAGAAGGTCTTTTTCTCTTTCATTTATTTTTTTTCAATTAATTTTATTTATTTATTTATGTTTCCCCCAAAGCCCCAGTAGATAGTTGTATGTCATAGCAGCACATCCGTCTAGTTGCTGTATGTGGGACGTGGCCTCAGCATGGCCGGAGAAGCGGTGCATCGGTGCGCGCCCGGGATCCGAACCCGGGCCGCCAGCAGCGGAGCACGTGCACTTAACCGCTAAGGCACGGGGCCAGCCCCTCTCCTTCATTTATTTGTTTACAATTTTTAGTGTCACTATGGTCTCAGATTGTTTTTTAGTTCAGTTTGTTATATCCATTACTGTCATTATCCTTCTTAAAATGTTTTGAGGTATAATTTACATACAGTAAAGTGCACAGATCTTAAGTGTGTAGCTTGGTGAATAAACACACCTATATAATCACCACCTAAGTGAAGAGAACATTTCTAGCACATCAAGAGGCTCCCTCATGGCCCTCTCAGTCTTATTCTTTTTGTCCCTGATTTTGACCAGTGGAAACCCCTTCAACCTGGTTTTTGTGTCCTTCTGATAAGTCCTCATTTTTCTTCACTTACTTTCTGGCACAAATTATTCCAGGCTCATCTTGTCCTTTCTCTGTTCCACCTGAGAATTGGCCACTTCTCCCGAGGAGCCCTGGTTCCTTTTATTGAGGACTGTTACTTTGAAATCAGTATCTAGACACTAGCTGTGCTCATTCCACTGGGATGTTATTGTTTCTCAGCCCTTTCAGCGGTTAGAGCTAGAAAATTCCTAATTTCATCTATTTTAAATCAGTTTCTAAAATCATACCTCCAATTTCAATCAGTCATAAGGTTTTTTCTCTCTTTTCCCACAGTAAGAACCTTGGCTGCCAACTACATCAATATGTTTATTCACTTGCCCAATTTCAGAATAACTATCCCATTATCCTACCAAACAACAAGCCTGCTAAGTAAAGTTCAAGATTTCTTTGCAATTATTTTGTTTTTAGGTTGTTGGTATAAAGCCAAAGTACTCAGTTAAAAAGTTACTTTTGGGGCACCGGCTGGTGGTGTAGTGGTTAAGTTCACGCCCTCAGCTTTGGGGGTCCGCAGGTTCGCATCACGGGTGCGGACATAACACACCACTCATCAAGCCATGCTGTGGCGGCATCCCAGATACAAAATAGAGGAAGATGGGCACAGATGTTAGTTCAGGGCTGATCTTCCTCACCAAAAAAACAAACAAAAGAGTTACTTGTATTTGTTTGTCTCTCCTTATATGGTTGCCATCTCAAGTGACATTTCTAAGATAGTAGTTAGAAGATTAATGAATTCATTCTGTGCCTCTTTCACTGGAACATAATCCCCACAAGGGTAGGGACTTTTTTCTTCCCCATTGCTGTTAGTCTAGCGCTTAGACGCTCAACAAATATTTGTTGAATGAGTAAGTGAATGCCAGGGTTGAACTGTGAACTGAAAATGCTTATGAAGTAAGTCGCTCCTGGCAGAATCTTACAACCGGTAGGCTTAGAACAGAGCGTGATACTCCCCAAGGCCTTTGGGAGTGGCTAGTGAAAGACTGGGAAAAGGTATAACCCCAGATGGTGAGCATTAGGGCTTTGGAGGTATTCAAGAGGAGTCGGGGCAGCCACAGGACAAGGAAGCCTCTTCTAGCTGACGGGCCATGGCTCGTCCAAGTCCGCACCAAGTGGCCAACCTGGGGTCCAAGGTGCGTGCTCCGAGCGTTTTAAGGGCTGGAGTCTGCCCCTCAAGGCAGGTGCTTTGGACCAGATTGCTAATATAAAAAAGAGCCGAATTCAGATAGGGATGTTGGGAGGAGACTGAGGGGCCTTGCCCAAACCAGGGAATCAGAGGAGCAGAGAGTGCTGCCTCCCGGCTACCCAGAGGTCACGCTTCCCGGTAAACCTAACTTCCGGGTCCTGTTCCAGGCCCCCAACCCCAATAGTCAAGAAGCTCCGCCCTCTGCTGGCTCCAGCAGATGCCGTGCGCTAATTGGCCGTATCTGAAGCCCCGCCTTAGCGTCGCACACTCAGGTAACTCGGAGCTCCAACGCCGGTTCCAGCTTCGAGACTCTCGGCTTCTTATTGGACTACCAATTTCCAATCGGAAGAGTTTTTGAACCTCAGTTTTCAGGCGG